GACATAGGCCTTCGAGAACGTCGACGAAGACATAGGACGGTAGACGAGGAAGACGACGAGTTCAAATGTGATTGCGGCTTCGAATGCGAAGACCGTGTTCATGTAGTCGCGGAATGTCCGTTGTACAAGAAGGAGAGGGAAGTGTACGTGACTGAGCTGGGGAAAATAGATGATGTACAGGGAGATGTTTGAGGCATGGAATAGCGAGGAAAGGACGGTTGCTGTACTGGGGCATAGGAGGTGGGCTGAAAAGGCGGGAAGGGATATCGTTGGGATAGACGGACTAGGGAAGACATTTTTGAGCCACATTTGGCAAAGTAGAAAGGAACGGTTGGCCATCGGTGATCGGTCCTGTGGAAACAATGCTCCGTCCTCTCGAGGACGCGTGGTCAATGGTCTAACCGCTAAGGCATGCAAAACCAAGAGTACGCCCCCCCCCTCTCCCCCCGTTTTTTTGTGATGTCAGGTGCATCGGCGAGTTTGCAGACTTGCTAGCGAGTCCACAAGACGCTTTTCCTGCTGTTGAAGGTGGTTCCGCGATGTGCCCCGCTCAGGATGCGATGCCTCACGAAGAGGTATGGGCAGGGTAGTATCGTAATTTGTTCCCTTTCTTGTCCTTGTTCTTGTTGTTCTTGTTCTTCTTTTACATGTTCTTGTCCTTGTTCTCCTTGTTCATGTTCATGTTGTTGTTCATGTTCTTGTTCTTGTTCTTGTTCATGTTCTTGTTCTTGTTCTTGTTCTTGTTCTTGTTCATGTTCTTGTTCTTGTTCTTGTTCTTGTTCTTGTTCTTGTTCTTGTTCTTGTTGTGGACGTGGTTATGGTTGTGGTATGTACGGGATCTCGGTGCTCTTCCGGTTGGATTTTCTGTAGCCGATGCGGAAACAGATATTCGTGCGTGGGCTCATAAAAACCAGATACGGGTTCTGCGTTTTATTTGTTGTACCGTGGTTGCGTTCCGCAAAGCGATGGATGTCCCAACAGACGCATGCACACCTGACGACTAGAATGTATACTGAAGAGTGGCAGTTCCAACATCTGGCGGGGTTGGAAAGGCGTCTGGTCGAGATCATTCCGAAACCTTGGTCGTTCGATTCATACAACCTTGCGTGATTGATGTGTAGAATGACGAGCGATTCGCTTCGGTGCAAGGGTGCACACAAGCAAGAAGCACTGCTTCGATCCAAGAGTTGNGGGGGGGGGGGGGGGGGGGGGGGGGGGGGGGGGGGGGGGGGGGGGGGGGGGGGGGGGGGGGGGGGGCATACTCTTGTTGTGCATGCCTACGCGGTTAGACGATTGACCACAGGTCCTATAGAAGACGGAGCGTTGCTTCGTGGAATACTGGAGTTCTCAAAACTGCTCCAATGGTTTGTGTGATATCCTTTTTCATTTACATTACATTGCCCCTGTATACCAGGTATGTGGATCATTGCATGTCCATCATTCACATTGTATCACCTGTGGCCGTTGTTGACCCCCCCCCGGCCTCATTCTTTTCTTTTCGTGTTTGAATGCTACGCGTCACTGTACGTGTTGTGTGTTTCTTCGTTTTGTACACGCGCGCGGTTGAATGAAGATCATCGACCTCCTGGAGGACCTTTTGAATCACCACAGCGCCACCGCGTCATCACGAAGCAGCGCCCTGACTGCCCTCGCCAAGGCCTCCTACAGGCTTGGGGAAGGGCTCGGGGAGGATGGGAAGGCCAGGGTGGAGGAGATGCTCGAGGGGTACCGATCGTCCATCACCCTGGAGCTCCAACAGAGGTATGCCGAAGTGTCTCGAATCGAAGACGGATGTTGTCAATGTAGGGAAATAGCCATCATCGGACAGAATTATGTTTTAGCCATGTCTTTTTTTTGTTTTCAAGTTTACTCTCCGCGTTTTTTTCTCTTTTTGCTGTTCTTTTTTTCCTGCGTTTGTTGTTCTTTTCTGTTCTGTTTCAGTGCCTCTCTCCTCGTTCTGTTTTTTGTATAAATATTGTTAAAATATTTTCCTCTTAATTTCTTTGCTTTTCGTTGTTGTCCTGAGTTTGTTTATCTTTGCTGCAAGAATGCCTCACTCCTCTTGTCCGTTTTTATTCATATTCGTTCTCTCCTTTGCTGTTTATATTTTCCTCTTCAACATGTTTCATTTTTTTTTCTTCTTTTTCTAGATCCTGCGAGTACCTGAACCTGCTCTCGCCACAGTGGGACGTGGTGAAAAAGGAGGCCCTGGACCGCATGCCCGTCATGGACGAGGAGGCTTTCCGGGAGAGGTATGGCCCTTGTCCGATCATGTCCGATCGATCGATACCACCATATGTCATATCATAGCTCAGGCGTTTTTGTGGCCTCTGGTGCGGGTGAGTAATCGCTTCCCGCGGACAAGTGGGGGTTTACTTTGGGTTGGAATTCGGGAGCGGTACCAGCACGTCCAATCGATATCAACGTATCTCATGACTCAGGCATTCTTTCGTGAGTTCGGGAGAGGCACCAGCATGTCCAATCGATACGAAGATATGTCATATCATAGCTCGGGCNGGGGGGGGGGGGGGGGGGGGGGGGGGGGGGGGGGGGGGGGGGGGGGGGGGTAATGCCTGGGTTGGTTTGCGTGCTGTTGACCCATGAACAGGCCTCTGGTGGGGATGTATGAAATGTGTGATGTGTCGAGACAGCTAGGAAGCGTGTTTTTCTTATGCAACCCAAGCTCCTGTTACCCATTTTTCAACAGTGGGAGGCATGGGGCGAGGCAGTGTCGAGACAGACAGGGAGCGTGTGTTTTTGCATTCGAGACCTAGGCGCCTGTTATCCATTTTTAGCAGTGAGAGACAGGAAAGGAGAACCTCCTTCGTCATGCTCCATCACGCCCATGACCCCCACGCGGAGCCCCCGCCCGAGAGGCCCTCTTGCCCTGACCACCTCATGGCGCTGCCTCGCGCTTGGTCGAGTCTCAGATTGGTCGCCGAACCTAGACGAGTCTCAGGGTTGGTGTTGGTGCAAGTCCTTCTCAAATGGCGGCTGTTGTTTGGGTCATGCGTGAGTGCCCCCCCCCCCCCCCCCCCCCCCCCCCCCCCCCCCCCCCCCCCNCCCCCCCCCCCCCCCCCATGTGAGCGTGTAACCCCCCGTCGCTGAGTTTGGTCCGTGATAAGTACGCCTGAGGGTTGGTGTTGATGCAATGACTCTTCAAAGGTGGCCTATTGTTTCTTGGTCAGTGAGTGAATGCCCCCCCCCTCTCCCCGCCACAACTTATATCGTATGTATCACCCTGCGTCTTGGCCCCCACCAGACGCGCCCGCTACACGATGGGCGCCGGCATGGGCGCCTTCGACGACGCTCCAGGAGCGGGAGACCGGTCTCCCAAGCCGCAGGGGTCCGCCTCTTCCTCAGCCCCCGCCGCCGGCCCCTCGCCCTCCAAGAACGGTCTGCCCATCCCTAGCAGCAGCAGCAACGGCGGAGGTGACCTTCTAGATTTGGAGGATATTTTCGGCGGCGGCGGTGCGAGTGCGCCCGCCGCCGTCGCCGCCGTCGTGCCACCGGCAGTGGCGGTGGCGGCACCGGGAGCGGGGAACGGGGCGGCGGCGGCGGGTGGCGTAGATTTGTTGGCGGATGTGTTCGGGGGAGGGGGGGGCTTGGTGCCGAGTAAGGCGGCGCCGGCGAATGCGACGGCGGCGCAGGCGCCGGTAGCTGCGGCGCCGGCGACGGCAGCGGCGGTCGGCGGAGACAGCGATGATTTCGGAGGGTTCGAGGTTGCGCCGCCTCGAGTGGAGAAGATGGTGGTGAGAAAGACACACACAGACAGACAGACAGACAGACAGAAAGAGGACGAAGGAAGGCGGCACAATAGTAGACGCGGACCGAACGGGCTTTTTTTGGCGTGCTCTCGTTTTTGTCGCATCCCCACAGAGCGGGTGTTAGTCCTGCTTCGCTGTTATTGGCGTTTCTTTCGTGGTTTAAGAAGCGAGGTTTGGGATACTCTGTATTGATCCCAACCACTGATACCGGCATGTCTCTTTGCTTGTAAGCTCCTCGATTGATTTTCTGCGTTTTGGTCATTTTGTTGACGCAAGCATTGGGCGAGACATGTGGGTAGGGGGTTACGTGCATGCCATTTTGGTTTTATTCTCCTGGTTTTATTTTCTGCGGGTTCGTCGTTGTTTTCGACGGAAACGTTTGGCGAGACTTGTGGGGGGGCGTATGGGCATGCCTTATCTGGTCGACTCTCCTTGCGGACGGGTACAGAACGCGCCGCATTTGAGAAACTCTTTTGCTTTGCGCGATCCTCCCCCTGTGTTTGATCAGGAAGGACTCGAACATGATATTGTTATTTTTCGTCGAATACAGGGGATACAAGTCATGCAGGCGTTAGTCTGCGCAGCAATATTGATTATGCAAACATATGGGATAGAGTATTCAATCCGTGCTTTGGGCTTAGGGTTGTTGGGGTTAGGGAAACGGTCTGCGTGCCCCCTCCCTATTCTTTTTCTAGACACTCTTAAAATCCTTCGTAGGCGGGATAGACGTCATACAGGGGATGAGCGTCATAATAGTTCGTGACAACCAAGCCCCTAGTTTCTTAGCCTACCAATATCTTCGTGGTTGACCAGTACCGACTCTGGCAAGAATGATCTCAACCCCAACCCTCATGAGTATCCCACTCTCCCTATCCGTGCCCCTTGACCCTTTGGCCGTTGCAGGCGTTCGATAAGAGCGGGTTGAGAATAGTGTTTTCGCCGTCGAAGCCGGACGCGTCGGATCCTTCGAAGAGCAAGGTCTCGATCGCCTTCAGCAACACCTCGGACGAGGTTTGTCGTCTTGGTCGTTGTCGTGGCTGTTGCTGTGGCTGTTGATGCTGCTGCTGACGGTGGTATTGTGTTGTTGTCTTTGGTGATGTTGTTGTTACCGCTGGTGCTGCTGGAGGTTGGTGCTGTGACTGTTGCTGTGGTTGCTGATGCTGATGCTGCTGCTGCTGCTGCTGCTGCTGCTGCTGCTGCTGCTGTTAGTTGTGCTTTGCGTTTTTGGTGTTGGTGGTGGTGGTGGTCATGGTGGTGGTGGTGGTCATGGTGGTGGTCATGGTGGTGGTCATGGTGTCATTGTTGTTGTTGGTGACGTAGCGTCGTCCTTGCTGCCTCTGCTGTTGTTGTCGATTTTGTCTTGAGTGGGATCGCCGCCGTAGGCCTCTTTTCCGGCACCTGCATCGTCTGCACAGAGGACTATCTCAAAGCGTCTAGAAGCCGTGGGCGCATGTTACCGTGTCCGTACCGGCGGCTTTGTTGCGACTGTGACTGTGACTGGGCGACGAGACAACCGCTGCCGCCACAACCGCCGCCACAATTCTCCTGGTTGTCGCAAATCATGCTCTGAGTGCTTTTTGACGAACACCGGGATCGAAGTACTTCTTGGATAACAGCGGAATCAAAGCACAGCAGAATGTATTCCTCCCATCGATTTGCCACCCGTGCACACTTGACTCCACTTGCAGTTTTTGTTCCCCACGTCTCAGGCTCAAGTTGTACAGGTAGCTCTGCCGCTGCTCCGCGCACGACGCATGAAGTTGGCCACAGGCGTTTGGAGGCTGTTGCGCCGAGACTCACTCACCCTCGGTTCGGTTGTTTCATTTGGATCCGGTTCTGCTTCGTCCCGATGTACAGGAAATTTCCGGCCTGGTGTTCCAGGCTGCGGTACCCAAGTCGTTTACGATGAAAATGGGAGCTCTGTCGGGCCACAATCTGCCCCCCCACAGGTGAGATGTTGGCGCGGTACAGTGCACTCCAGGGGGACAGCAGTGTTTAGGTCATGGAATGCATGCTCAATGGACATGCACTGCGGCATAGGAATAGATGGGTAGGGAAAGGAAAAATTTCCTCTAGCAGAACCGGGTCAATATTTCCGCAGTAGATCGGTAAGGGTACTGGGAATGGACTGGAAAGGCTGGGAGTGATATCGTGGACAGGAACGACAGGATAATATTGGGCAGGAAAAACATGTTTGAGCCACCTTTCGGTAAAGTAGGAAGGAACGATTGGCCAGAGATGATCGGCCCTGAGAGAATGGTCATGATGGGCCCTTGTGAGAACACGCTCCGTCCTCTCCAGGCAAACGTCTTATGACTTGAAGGCATGCACATCATGAGTGCGCCCTCCCTCCCCCTGTGTGTGGACGTTTTCCGACCCCGTCACTACCCCACCTCCCCAGCGATGGCGTGGTGTCTCAGGAAATCAGCGTGACAAACGCGATGCAAGGGACGAAGAGCTTGATGATGAAGCTCAAGATTCAGTTCCGACGCGGGACTGTCAACGTGGCGGAGGTGGCGCAGGTGGCTCAGTTCCCTGCCGGCTTCTGACGGGAAGGAATGCCACGGTCGTGAAGGCAGGGTAGCCGGCGGAAGACGATGCGACCCCCTCTCCCCCCGGCCGCCTGGAAACGTTTTTCCGGCCGTGTGGATTTATCCACGCCAAGGCGAGGGGTAATGTGGCGGAACGATAGAATTTCCTGATCGGTGTTGGCTAAGCTAGAGAGCGTTTTTGTTGTTCCTGCCGCCATTTTAGTTAATTCTTTTCTTTGGTGCCTCGGTGTGTCCGAGGATTCCGTAAAACGGTGATTTTTTTTGCCGAACTAGGGGCAGTGGTTTGTCCCGCCCCCCCACCAATTGAAACAGGAGTGCGTGTTCGTGTGTCGTTCGTTCGTTTCTACACTTTCTTCAGTGGTGACGGGGGAAGCGTAAGGCGGATGATGAACGGTTTTATAAATGTAATACAAGAACAAGGGCCAGGCGCGAGGCGGCAAGACAGCCTCATCTACTGCTACACCCTTCGATAGCGATTGATTGGCGCGGAGGTTTCCCTGCTAGTGTTGTAGCACGTCCGTTCGTTGGAGGGGCGGTCCAAAGCAAGCCCGTCCCTGGCCGAAGGACCCTCACGTGTGTCAACGTATGTTACATTGGGAATGGCCAGCGCGTGGCCAACGCATTCCCAAGCACGCCTGTCCCAGGCCAATGGACTCGGGCGTGTGTCACACACACACAGGCGTTTGGGTGGGAGTGACGAGCCTGTGGCCAAGGTATTCCCAAGCAAGCCTGCCTGTGTCCTTGACCACAGGACTCTCACATACGTTTGACATTGCTGACCGTGTCGGACCGTACAGGTTGCGTATCGTCGACGGATTGCCCACTTTTCGAGCTCTAGCGTAACCGTTCTTTGACCTCTAATGCTTGTCGGGGAGCGATTGTTACTCCTCGCATACGCGCTACAACTTTTTTTGTTTATCTTTTGTAGGTCCGCCCTTCATGGTTCACTGGAAGATATTGCAACTACAGGCAGGCTCGAAGTGATGAGCACCGCAGCACAGCTTCGGTGCCACCAGCATAGACTCATGCCACCCTCCTTGCTTCATACGATAGTTGAAAAAGAGCAACTGTAACTGGGGAGCAGGTGCTGTCCCAGGAGACAAAAGGGCTTTGTTGGTTTCGCAGACGGCATATTTTCACCCCACAGCTACAGGCCCGACCAACAGACATGGATACACCAGCAAGCGTCACGAATGCATGCACACCATGAGCGCCACGCGCCGCTTGGTGTTTGCCGAGTGGGAAGGGAACCTGCCGACAAACAACGCCGGGCGGCTCAAGAAACGCGTCTTTCATGTGAATGAGGGAATCGTCCCAGGCCTTGGGGAGATTGTACCCGTAGTTCAGGGCATCTCGACACATTTGTAACTCCTTAATTTTGTGTTCAATGAAACAAAAAAACGCGTGACCTTCCTCCGATGTAACAATATGGTAACGAAAGTCTTGAGACCGACATCCAGAACAAAAAATAGGGGGTTCGCGAAAATTATGACCCGGCTGATGTGGTCCACCCACCCGCCTGCTTCTAGATACCGCCCAGAAAGCGATGTACACAACCCACTCAACAGTAAACCTGGCCGTTATGCGGGGTACTCATGATGCTGACGAAGAGTGCCAATACAGAGTGGGTGCTACGGTAGGCGGTTCACGCCATCTTACCATTCCGGATAGAGAGACACACTTTACGTAAACCTACATATTGGCCACGTCCTATTTCGTCGTAAGATCACCGGAACAGGACTGCACGATTTCTTCCAAAAGTGCAAGATTTCAGGGTGCACACTCCCCTACCGTAGCATCAGTCACAAACCTCTTTAAGCGTATGTCTGGAGCATAACGATCGGGAGGCCACACGGCTGCCCTCTCGTCCGAGATGTACGCACATACCATCTAGCGGTCTAGGTTCTAGCTTGGAACCCGACTCACGAACCCATCAAAACCAGCAGAACCTCCTGCCGCTTCGAAGCTGAACACCAAATACACCCGTCCGTCAGTGGCCCTGCGCCCATGAGACCTCCGCAAGAACATCAGATCCTCCCAAGAACTTCCAACAGAGGACTCTCCCTCTACGTTAGGATCGCATCACGTGAAGAAACAACATAAAAAACCGACTCTCAAGACAAGGCCAAACTCAAACAAATCTGAGCTCCCAGCCGTCGGCAAATCACAGGCATTATTTTAGCCGTTTAGTCGTAACGGCGCTCCGGAGCATCACGCATTGATCGATCAGCCCTGTAGTACGCACTTCTATGTTATTGTTGTTGGTGATGCTGCTGGTGGTTATGGTGTCACTGTTGTTGAGACCATGGTCACCCCCATTGCGTGAAGGCAGCACGAGTAACACCCCTGCCCCTCCCGCACACGTGCAGCACAACCCCACCCCCGTAACTGCCCGTCTCCGCCACCTTGGACGAGTTCACGCGATTCCTGTCCTCCCTGAATTTAATGCTTCTTCTCTGTTTGCTTGCGCTTCTTGGCTGCGGCTTCTTTCGCGCCGAAATCCCCGAAACCCAGCCGCTCTGCCAAGACCTGGAGTTGGTCGACGTGTGGCAGGCGTTTGGAGAGGTTGCGGTGGGTTCAGAGTGGTCAAGCAAAGGTTCGCAAGAGTCATCACCATCAAACCCCCCCAACCACAAGTCCTCCGATACAGGGTCGAGGCTGAGGATGATAAGGGAACGGTAACGGACAAGGCTGCCAGTGGTTGTATGCATAAGTGGTTTCGTTTGTTTTCGGTCTCGCTACATGAGACCGGCGTATCGTTTTCACTCTGGGGCCGGTGTGAGCACCGTCAGTGGTCTCCCCGAAGGAAGGCAAGCTCGCTTACGACCCTAAGATGACAGAAACAACAGCGGCAACTCACACGACAACAACACAAACAACGACACCCCCACCAACAAACAACAACAAACAACCACACCCATCACCACCACCATCACCACCAACAACAACACCAACCAGACGGCTCCACGACGACGCACACACCTTGGTTCCCATGTTGTTGCCTTCCGTCGCTTCCATCACCAGCCGCGCCCGGGCCGCCTTCGTCCCGAGCTCCTCCCGCACCGCGGCGCCCGTGCTAGGTACCTCCGCAAGAGCGGTCACCACAAAAGCGCCTCGGTTCGTCGAAATCCAGGCGGACAGCTGCCCGCCTGCCTTCTCGAGAAGGGCGTCCGCGAACGAAAGGGTGTCCGACGTGTCGGCAGCAGAATCTGCTCCGTCTTTTGCCTTCTGGGCTTCGGCCTCCCGTTCGAGAAGCTGCTTCATGAAGAGGTGGGCCGAAGGGTCCTACATACATGTATATTTTTTGATGTTGCGTCGTGGGTTTTTCGGCAGCAGTAGCAGCAGCAGCAGCAAAAGCACAACCAATATCACCGTCAGTTTTACGCGAATCAACACCAGGTTCGTTGCCAAAATGGAGTTGCACGGGCAGCGCCCCCAGCATAATCAAAGACGCGTTCCCGTGACAATAAAATACGAGATACTCCCCCGCCCCCTCCCCTCAAATCGGTACGTCTTGGCGAGGGTGATAGTATTCATCTATGAAACGGAGAGAGGGCTTCCGAACCCTGCATATCCTCAAACCTATTCCCTTACCCCTAGTAAATCCAAGATAAATATCCTCGCCAAGGACCTCCTCAAATCCCATTATTCACCCGCAGTCGCGACAGCTTCGACCTTCGACAACCTACCACAGCACCAGACACATACACTGCGCAGAGAGTACAATAACAAACCTTGCCTGGTGATGTATGCTCATGTTAGACCATGCCGCCAACAGCAACACTAGTTCACCTTGGCCCTTCCACGCCCCCCAAGACTGGGAGAACCACAGAGGCTACGCTACGGAGAGCGCCCGGACACAATAACTTCGCATTTCGAGAACTTCAGGCTGAAAAAGTACGTAAAGGAAAAGAAAAAAAGAATTTCGAACGTTTCCTTGTCTTTATGTAAACCCGGTGAAGAACCCCCTTCACTACACAGGGTCTACTTGTACGTTTGTATGCATAGCCCAAAGCCAACACTGAGTACCTCGACCAAAAACAAGAGCGAGGTTCTCAAGTGCGGCCGCTACCTTACGCCTACATGCCCCTTTCGTTGGTGGCGCTCACCTCATGCATGGGCAGCTTCCCCACGCGCGGCTTACCGCACGCAGCCTTGACCACGGCGGCGACAACCTGGGGGGTTCCTATGGCCTGGGGGGCGGCGGCATATCGTGTCGGGGTTAGAAAAAGTGATTATCGGGGCGGCGTCGAAGCCTCGAGAGCTATCTGACTCTCAGCCAGGCACTCCTTTCGAAAGAACTGCGGTCCATGCTTGGAATTCAGCCAGAGTCATTGGTGTTCTTCGGGGGCTCTACAACAGTCTACATCACGCACTCCTTTCGAAACGGAGCGTGGTTCATGATTGCAATTTGGCTAGACCCGAAGCCCAAGCCGTGGCTCTACACTTTATTAGCCACGCATCTCTTTCGAAACGGAGCGCAGGCTATGCTTGGAATCTGGCTAAACATGGACGCCTTAGCCGTGCTTGGGGGCTCTACAGCCTGCAGACCACGGGGCGTAGGCTCTGGGAAAGGAAAGGCCGCATATAGCCGGCGCGGTCACGCCTCCGGCAACCCTCTGTTCCCACAAAGACATGCTTGTGTCCAAAAGTGTCCAGGTGCTGTCCCAGGTGCTTAGATACAGAGAGAGAGAGAGGCCGGGTTTGGATCGGCAGCCAACGAAAAGCCCATGTATCGCCGAACGCCAGCGAAGTACAAGCATGCAAGACCAAGACTACGATCCATCCTTGCATTGCGACACGCACTCACCACAAATCACTGTACTTCTAGTAAACAGTGAATAACCAAAACACACGCCCAACGATCTTTTCTCGACAACAAACAGCACGTGACACCACAACCTCTCCTTAGTACGACAACAACACACACACACACACACACACACACACACACACAAACACACACACACACACAAACACACACCCACACACAAACACACACACACAAACACACACACATGATGAACCTCCCTCGACCAACAACGCCGTAGTCGCAAACCACCAACGAAGCTCTCGCCCACACGCTCAGAAGACGCACCCGTATAGCCTCCAGCAGAACCACCGACCCGGCGCACTTCGACCTCATGAGCATCGGCGCGTGAGTCGCACACGCCTCCCTGAGCGGCTCCCTCAGGAAGGCCAGCAGCTCCCTCCTCCTCACCGACGCCTCCTTCCTTGAGGAGGGGACGAGAGGAACTTCTGTCCCCTCCCCCCCTGCCTTGGGGTCCTCGTCGTCGTCTTCCCCGGTGGCGGCTGCTGCTGCTGTTGCGGCAGCGGGTGAGGGGACCATGGTGGGCTTGAGGAGCTCGAGCTCTTCGGGGTGGAGGTACCTGAGAGGGGGCAGGGGGGGGGGTACTCAAAGTCGTGCATGCCGAAGTCGTTAGACCGTTGACCTCGCATCCCTACAAAGCCGGGACGGAGCACGCCAGGTTCTCACCGAACCAGGCTCTCGCATCACCAAGCGCGAAGCGAAGTGAGGTATTCGGCGAGTCGCATGAAGGGTGCGCTGCATCCTGCTAAGGGTGTTCGGCATCATGTGCTTACTTCCTTGCGTACGGACGACAGCTGCGTTTGACTTAATATAATTTCTGGTGCTTCACTTCCAGAGACAGTTGTAAGCACTGAGAAACTGCCTCGAGGGTGCTTGACCATTTTAACACAACGTGGTGCGATCATCCCCATTGCGCGGAGTGAGGACCCTCCACCCCGCACACCATGATCTACTCGGCCGCCATGATGGTTACCGCCAAAAAAGAAAACGGAGGTAAAAAAAAAAACGGTAACCTGGTTGCCGAGTTCACNTGGCTTGTTTTACAACGTCGTCGCCAAGCGACGAAAACCCAACCCCGATGGCAAACACCGCGGGAGAGGGGAGAGGGGACGGGGCAAGAGGGGGACGATTAACTCAGAAGCATCAACGAGAGAGGAATATCATCATGATTTCGAATGTAGCGCCCATAGAGAGAGTACAGATGGAGGCCCTTTTTCGAAATGCAACACATACAAACCGCGGACACAGAATGTAGAGTCAAAGGACAGAGATAGGTAGATACAGATAGAGGCCCTTCTTCGAAATGCAGCAGGTAAAAACCGTGGACACATAAAGACAGAGAGGGAGAGCAAGACGCGTGTGACTATCGTGAACGGAACCCCAAGCTTCAACACCTCTCGCACGGCATCGCGCACACGGCCCCACTCACCCCGACAGCCACAGAGCGCGCCCGACACACACAAAAACTCCGACGGACAGAAAAACACTCACGCGTTTCTTATCCCCAAGATTGGCATCTTGTCATTGCCCCCCCCGGGGGTATGCAGCGCGGTCGTCGACGCTCTTTCAACAAACACACATACATCCCACCACTCCCAAAAGCCTGCCGTCTGTTAAAGCGTACCCGGTGTGGTCCGGCGCGAGCAGCCTCAGCAGCAGCTTGCACCCGTTCTTGTGGCACATCACGCCCACCAGCGGGAGCCGAGGAGAGGCGGCCGCTTCCTCCTCTTCCTCCTCCATCGCATCGCCCTCCACCTTCTTCTCTTCCGCTTCCTCCTCTCCCTCTTCGTCCTCCTCATCTTTGTCCTCCTCATCTTCGTCCTCATCCCCTCCGTCCTCATGCTCATCCTCTTCGTCGTCCTCTTCCTCTTCCTTCTCCTTCTCCTCCTCTCCCTCTACGTCCATGCCCGTGACACCATCTCCCGCAGCAGCAACGCCTCCGTCGGAGTTTCCCTTGGGGGCGGTGGTGCCCCGGGGGACCCACTCCTCCGCGCTGGTGCCCTTGCCGGCTTTGGGGACGCTGTTGCCGGCGGGGGTAGTCTTGGGGGTGACCTGCGCAAGGAAAAAACCAAGCAAAAGACAGATGGGAGGGAATGAAAAACAGAGCCGGCCGGAAGGAACAGGAGCACGTGCATAGACCGCACGTCCTACAAAGGCGGCTATCTCGGTTTGTGTCCAGACACAAATAGATATACGCACGCTGATGTTATTTTTCAATCGGCTATCTCGGTTTGTATCCAGACACAACAATGTACGCACGCTCATGTATTTTTCAATTGGTCAGCCGGGCAGTGATTTCCATGCCAAAAACAAAAACATGAAAAGGCATACGCACACCATCCTGGCATGTCAACGGCGTCTCGACTGATGGATGATACACACGCCAACGGAACGGCATCGCACCACCAGCTACATGGATTTCGGAGGGTCTACTGTAAGCTTGCGAGTCAGCTAGAGCACAGGGGGGCGATCGATTTTCAAAGCGTAACCAGGAGGGTGCGAGCGCCAACTGATACTTCTCAGGAGAGCTTTCGATGAGATACTTGCAAAACCGCCCCCTTCGACAGTGGTTACCTGTTGGTTGTGGAGAAATTACGCTTTGAAAATCGTTCGCACCCCTGTGCGCTGACTCGCGACCTTACGGTACCTAGGCCGCCTCTCACCTCTTTCGGCTTGAGGAGCTCCGCCAGGATGGCCTTCTGGCAGGTGACGGTGTCGTCCACCGACTCCACCAGCCTGATCACGGCGATGTAGGCATCCCTAAAGGGAGAAAAACAAGCGGAGGGGGGAGTTCCTCATGTTTTGCATGCCTTAGCTGTTAGACCATTTTGACAACTCGTCCTAAAAAAAATGGAGTATTGTTCCCACAAGACCGCCCGTGATCGAGAAGTTATTCATTCCTCGTTCAAAAACATACGTGCGTGCCTATAGATCCATCTGGGAAAAGGGCCAGAGAAACGTTTCAAGGTCAACACAACCGACAACAAGAACAATACTGCCAGCATGCACCGGTAGCCCTGAACATAGCGGACAATACTCGACGACATCCGCACAGTCTGCCACAAAACAACCCAAGCGCCCCAAAACAAGGCCCGTCATTGACCCCCGCTACTCTCCGCTCTCAGCACCTGTGCATGAGCGAGGCGGCCACGTATCCCTTGAGGGCGCGCATCATCCTCTTGCGCTCCTTGGCGCCCCCGTGCGCCGCGCACATCGCCGCCGCCATCGACCCGGGGCGGGTGGACAGGAGGAGAATGTACGAGTCCACCAGCTGCGGCACAAGCTCCTAAGATACATGGGTGAAAAGAATGCAAGCAGGGTTGACGGGCGAGTCAAGTGATATTAGCGCCAACACTTGCGTTCGGGCATCTCCGACGGGACGAGTGAAAAGTGCCATCACGGGTGTGTGCGTGTGAGCACTATTAACGCCACCGCTGTTGCTGTGCCTGGGGAACTCCATGGGAAAGCAGAAGCACCACTGACATTACCGACAGTAGAAGATCGTACCACTTAGGGGTAAACGAGGGGGCGGGAGGTGACCGCGGGGGGTGTGTGTGTGTGTGAGGTGGAGCAAGACCCTTTGCTAATCCAGCATCCGTATCTATGAAGTCTGACAAAAAAATGAAAAGATAAAGCAAAGCTATCGTGTTATCCGTTCGACTTCTATTGGAGGAGGGAGCATCTCGTGGGACAGGGGTGTGCTCCACCTCCACTTGGCATCATGTGCTGGAACATTATCAACGTCGTTATTTACCGTGAGCTACGTATGGACTAGCGTCATGTCCCTGCTTTTGGCAGCGACCGCCCGATGCATGTACCGATTTGCGACGAAAACAATCACCAGCAAAAAATTCCCCGACCTGCATCTGCACAGGCGTGGCCTCTTGCATGTACTCCCAGAGCAGGTCATGGGCGAACTCGAACTTCATGAGGCCCTTGGACAGCAGCTTTGCGATCACGCCGTTCACGTGGGCCATCACGACAGCACGCCTGCAAAAACACCCACACACCCACACGCACGCACTGAGACTTACGTTTTTTCATTGGTTAGCCGCTTGGCGCGGTCGATGCAACGACATAAAAAAACAAACACACAAGGGGTCAGGCGACAGTTGCGGTTGTTTTGGAAAATTGATGAGTGGATGGGCCAAGCGGAACGACAATGAAAAAACCAGAGTTGCAGCTTGAGAATTTGCGAACATATGACCGAGAGGCCTTCGCATAGAGACCCGCCGAAACTCTAAGCGTGAACGGGGCGGGGGGTATGTGCATATTGGTCGGCCGGGTCCCCCAGTCTGACAGAGTTGGCACCAAGCAAAGCGACTTCCAAAGTGGGCATACCCCTAGCCGGATAAAAAACAACACAGCAACACATCTGGGAGGATTGTTCTCAAATTGGTCTGCGCGGCCTTCGCGCAAGCTCTGTGCTGAACCGTCAGGGACCAATTTTCTCGAGCATTGCTGTCAACGGTCCTCGCTGATGCACTCAGAGGCACCGACACTATCAGGGCACGAGACGACATGATTCCATCGTCTGTGCCACACGATCTCACCGGCACACCGGTGTTACATATCCCCGACTGTCTCAAAACCGGGGGGTGGGGGGCGGGGGTCGGAGGGGGGTTGAAGAAGGGAGACGGATGAGACAAGGGACATTGTAGCGCAAAAAAAAAAGGATTGTCACCTGTCAGGCCTGGCCTTCAGAACCGCCTTGAGACTGTGGGGCTGGTTGTCGTCCGTGAACAAGGCGTACTCCTTGCCGTAGAACTCCGACTGTTTTTTTTCCCCGCACGTGCCGGAGAAAGGGGCGTTGTGTAGAAACTTCAGGCACAAAAAAAAAACAAACGAGCTTGTGTTCGTCGAAAACGATAAAAAGGTGACAAAAATCGCCTGCTCGGGTCGCGTTTAAAACCTCGTGCGTGTGGCATCTGTCCACGAAGCTTCTTCCGCAAGGGTACGAAGTACGAAGCCAATTCTACCTTGAGGGTACTTCAGGGCAGAACCTTGACAACAACACAATGGAGCTACGAACTTGCTGGAGTTCCAGCGCCTTTGGCCACTTATCGCAATGGGAGCAGGCATCCAAGCACGCTCGCCGCAAGCGTTCCTCTCCTGAAACATTGCCGGTCTAACCACGTAACCCACTTTGCGAATCATCATCAGGTTCCCATGGCTACTCAACCCCAGGCACACATCCAACACCTCTACCCGTATGTCGCCTTCTGCACTTTTATTCTCTATCTTGCACAAGCATGGCGCCGGCCAATGTACGTACAATCCCACATTAAGAGGAACGAAGAACTGGCTTGGAATACCCATGTGTTCAACATCCAAAGAGTTTGTTGTTGTTTTCGTCCTATTTATGATGGCGACATTTTTCGTGGTGAGACGTGTTCTACATTTTCAGCGTATGAAGAGTACTACACTTTTCAGTGTATTTTTTCGTACAACTACAACCATCCAGGGTCACACAGGAGGGGGTAAACACCAGGGCTTTTTTCTTCATTTTATTTCTTTTCATGCCCCACCTTCCTCCTGCGGTGCGTGCTGAATGTTATTTTTATCGCGAGAAGGGTCCAGCCGTCCCTTTCCTCGTCAACGGTGCTAACGTCGAAGTGTGGTATTCACGAGAGCTTTTTATTAGCTACATTTCGCTTTCACCCGCAAACTTCGTAATTTTTTCACCCCATGGGGATTCGAACTCACGACCTCTGCAACTAGCGGATTACGAGGGTACCACTAGACCACCGGGGCGACCGGCTATAGAGTGGCGAAAAGTGAAACTTTTCGCGGAAACTTCCTACAAGGAAATACACAGTATTTATTGCGACAAGCAAGATGACTTTCACTTCCCAAACAAAGCAAGCGTCGCGACGGAACGCAGAAAGACAAGCAAGGTTTCCGTGGAAGACCGCTCATTCGCGAGGAGCCTCCACGTGCCGCATCAACCAACCAACTGACCTTGATAAGCGCGGCCGAAGCCACCGGGAGTGAGTCGAGCGCGGTCTGCACCACCCTCGCGCCGATCGCGTGGGTCGCCAGCTTCACCGTCTGCCCCCTGAAGGTCTTGGCAACGCGCTTCTGCTCCTCGGCGCCCTTGATCTCCTTGAACAGGCGCAAGACGATGAAGTGCGCGTACGTCAGCTGCGACAGCTGGGCGATGTGACCCTCGATCTCCGTGAGGATGGACAGGCGCTCCTGAGACATTGTTTTTTTTTCCGAGGCGAATGGGAGGGAAGGGGGAGCGAACGAACGGGCGCAGGAGGGGGGCGTGGGGTAGGGGTGTAGGGGTGTGTGTCATTTTACGATCGAACCGTGCGCGTGTGGCTTGGGTTGGAGTGATAAGGGAACGCACGAACATCAAGCCGCCCTGGCGTGTGCGTACATGATGGCATTTCTGGTAGTTGTTGCACTCATGTCTACCCTCAATGTTTCATCCCCTCCAAAAACTCTCGGTTCTTCTCTCATTTGAAACTACCATGACCTGGGGATAGATTTATCACACAAGAGAGGACAAAGGGTGGACATCGTTGACGACGGCATGTGAGCTGTGCATAGCCTCAATCAAGCGGTCGTAGTGATGGTCTCCGCGAGGGGAAGGGGGGGCCGTGTCGTGGCGTAAGGAATATATTGGGCTTGTTTCTCCGGACGAGGGTAAGTTGGTCATGGAAGTCAGCAACGGAGCCGCACTTGCACAACAGGTGAACAGTCAGTATGTAGTCTACCGGTTGTGCACTACAGTGGAGAGGCTAGGGTTGCATAACTATGAGAGCTTCGTGATTCAGAACTAGAAAACGAAGATGCGCCGACGCACCTCTTGGTTCCCGAACTGCAGCGCGGTCTGCACCACCCTGCTGGCGTCGTGCTTGAGCGCGATGTCCATCACCTTCCCCTTGATCAGTTGCAGCAGCTCTTGAACAAGTTTCGCTCGCTCTTCGGGGGGGACCTACACGGGAACAGGACCAAGGACACCACCACCCGAACGTCAGCAGCAGCAGGAGTACAGCAGTGAACGCAATGTCCTAGAGTCCAGGGCGGGCACGCTGCAGCGTGCTGCGCGAAAGCAGAAAAATAAGCGCCAGGGACTGATTGATTCTAGAAAAGCAGACTACGCGTCAGCTACTGCTGTGCAATTTACGTACGGTGAGGGTATCCCACACCACGTAACACCAGTAGCGTCAGCAGCAGCGTGGCGGCGACAGATATGCTACGCACGGGATGGTCAACGCCAGCTGCGGTGGGGCTGCTGTGGCAGAATAGGACGAGACTTGGGTCGTAGCTTGCAAAACATTTCATCGGAAAATGCGCAGGGTGATTATGCTTGTGTAGCATGTTGTGGGTTACAGCGTGCGGCTAGGGAACGGTATGCACCGAGGGAGAAACAGTGCCGGTAAGATATACACGAGAGCACACTCGAAGACATGAGCTCTGGCGCGGAGTGCCTGGCCCTGCCGATAGGACAAGCAGCCGCCTTCGTCGTGTGAAGTAACAGTGGCTCAATGTGACTGCCTTGCAGTGGCGCCCGCCTGCGGGTATAAGTGTAGCCGAGCAGTACTTTATACGACAAACCGACCGAACAGCACAGAACAGCCCATGTGCCACTATATCATGTTAAGACGAAGCGGTATCTTGGGATCCCAACACTTGCTGCAACTGGTGCCGCTCCCTATCCGCAAGCGTTTTAGTCTACATGCCGTCGACTCACCTTGCGCTCCCTTAGCTTGTTCCATATCTCCTTCGACCTCTTTACGGTGTCGAACTGAGGGCGTTGCTGCTGCCGTTCGAGCTTGAGCTTCCGCTTCTTGTTCGCTGGACCCTTGTCTTCCTCTCCTCCGCCACCACTCTCCTTCTTGTTGTTCCCTCTCCCGCCGCCCGCCTTCCCTTCACCACGCCCGAGGCCCCTGCCTCTCCCGCCAGCTCCCTTGCTGTCAGAGGACCGCTTTCGCTTGCCGTCTACATCATCGGCAGAGTTAGGCTTCGTGTTTTCATCCTTGGGGGCAGCTCCGTTCGAGCGTCCGCTACTGCCACGCCCCCGACCTCCACCTCTCCCTGCTCCGCGGCCGCCGCCCCTCCCACGGCCACCACGACCGTCACGACCACCACCTCGATCGGAGCTGTTTCCACGCCCTCCTCCTCTTCCTCTGCCTGTGCCTCTTCTACTGCCGCGGCCTCTTCCGCCACCACCACGTCCCGCGTCCATGGTTTTCCAACTGGATGCAACGACGCAGGGCCCTGCGGGATGTACGCGTGCTGGTGTAGGCTTCGTCTCCTCGTGTGGCACTGGATGGCCGTGTGGCCGTGCCATCCCTTTGCGTGGTTATCCGTGGAGAGAGGGCGCTCATTGGTGGAGGACGCAACAGTCCCGCACTCAAGGGGGCTACGCAGAGGTGAGACAGATAGGGGAGGGTGTTTCGTCCGGACTGAAATCGGTGGTGCCGGCCATGCTCAGACCGAACGACCTCTAGCTCCTCATCTCCTAACGCTCAACACTCGTAGCCATCATGGCCTCCTCTTCTCTTCCCGCTTGCCTCCATGCCAAGTGAGTCTGGCGGTTGTTGTGGCGATCGCACGCAAGTTTTGCTGTCGGAAAAGACAAGCCAAAAGCGTCGATTTCGTGCTGTTCAAAAACAGCCTTCTTTGTCCTGTTTGGTTGGCGTTCATCCCAACACGCGTTGCTCACCGTAGCGTGTGACCGACCTCCTTGATCTGTCACGTGATTCGTAGCTGGATGTGTGCGTAAGGGGCGATGTGCCGTTCGCTATTTGTGCGAAGTCCAGCGGCGTATCTCACCCGAGGGTGCGTGTGCCCTCTCTCTGGCTCTTGAGGGCATCAAGGCCCAGGGATACCTCGTAGCACTTTTGTGGTCAAACGTCCGTGGCGAGCAGACTCGTCACCTATGCATGTGTCCGCCTGTTTGCGACTCCCCTTTCTCGGGTAAGGAAACGTCGCTATTGGAGGGTACGTTTGTACACGTTCTCGCCCCTCGACTTGATTCTGCTCACCTTGGGTAATGTGTGCGTTTACACATTCCGGTCGTTGTCTGTTCTTTCAAAATCATTCGTCGACGCCATTGCTGTTGCTGTGTGGGATGTTAGGGAGGAGGACATCCAGAAGATGCTGGCTGCCCAGGTGCACATCGGCACCCGCAACAGCGACAGCCAGATGCAGGACTACATCTGGCGCCGCCGCCAGGTATGTTGAACTGCGAACAAACCAACATGAGAATTCGTAATAATCGTTTCTTCTGAATGCATAGCAAACCTGCACGTCGGTAGAGAAGATCTGAGGCCCGGTGCCTACCGACAGCGCGCCTTCGTGTAAGGGACCGGCGCTAGATAGGTGTTCGTGGGGAGACGAGCCTCTCAATGGTATCATCACTTAATTTGAACAATAACAACAGCAGCAGCAGCAGCGGCAATAGCCATAAGCGGCCGTCCGGCGTGGTTAGATTTTGCCTGCCTACGGTTGATGGGTGGTTGCTACTGCTGTCTTGTGCATCAACCGACGAGTTGAGAGGTGTCGAACGACCAGCACGTGGCTGTGTGCTGGATTGTGTCCAGAGCTTCGTTGCACTCACCCTCTCGACACCTTCGTCTCCCGTGCTGGCTGTCATGTCGTGGCCTAACCGGTGATCCCCCGGTTCTTTGATTTCAATATGGTGCGGTTATCCTTACAGGATGGCATCCACATCCTCAACATCGGCAAGACCTGGGAGAAGCTGGTCCTTGCGGCCCGTATCATCGTGGCCATCGAGAACCCCCAGGTGCGGATTCGAGCTCTTCTGTACAATCTGGTTATCGTTTTTGTGTTGATATTGAAGCTCTTGTCCTTGCGGAGAGCATTGGCATTGTCTCTAACCTAAGATTGAGGATGCGAACGGAGCTGAATCTCTCACGCGGTTACCGAAGGCAGCAACAACTCTCAGCTAGAAACGCCTCTCCCGCCACAATCCGGCTGCAGCCGACACGCTCGCATTCAGAACTACTCGTGTTTTGCCAATCCGTTCCCCTGTCTCCCAAATTTCAGATTGCAGGCATGCTTTGTATCCTACGGTTTTCTGCTGAACGAGATTTCTTAGTAGAAAAACGTGCCGGCCGACGGGTGCACGCAAAGCACTGCCCCAACCACTTTTTTGTCTGTTGCTGGGTATGTAGTCTAAGGCAACCACCTGACTTCACGTTCGCGATGATTAGTGTGGGGGCGTGACTAATACATGTTGGGGACGTTGTCGAGGGCATCCAGCCGCCCCCTTCGGCGTGACCCATCATAAAGTTGGCTGGTCCTGTTGACGGCCCTGTCGACGCCCTCTCTGGCACAGTGGCCGGGGTGATGTCGGGTCGCTCTCTGTCGTCATACGAGTATCTTTGCTCCCCCGTTTCCTTCGCGACGTTGCTCTCGTGACAACAACATGTCGACCTGCACATCATCCACAGGACGTTGTGGCCATCTCGGCTCGCCCCTACGGCCAGCGCGCGGTGCTCAAGTTCGCCCAGTACACGGGCTGCCTGTCCATCGCCGGCCGCTTCACCCCCGGTACCTTCACCAACCAGATCACCAAGCAGTTCCGCGAGCCCCGCCTGCTGATCATCACCGACCCCCGCCCTGACGCCCAGGTACTGAGTGGTTTGTTGGCGGTTGGGGCTGGTGTATGGTGTTGACGTTGATTGTTGTCGACAACGAGCGGGATCGGACAGTCGCCTCGATGCACACCTGAAGATGGCTTCTGTCACAGGTAACGCTACTAGGCACGCGTAGTTCGTATCGTGTTCCCATGAGACGAATCATTTATTTCCACATCCGTACGCACACGGCCTTGAGTGCTTTGCATCCAGTAGAAGAATGTTGCATGGTTGACCCGTGTCCCCAGCGTGAAATTGCTTTGGACCGTCACCGGGTGCGGCGACTCCGCTCGTCTTGATTTCGCCGCGTAACGTTATCCACGCGCGCGTATTTTTCTCCCGGGGGACGACGCGTGTCCATCGCAGGTAGCGGACGTATCGCTGACCTGTTTCTCCCCCCCCCTCGTCTGCCTC